CTTTGGCTGCCTGCATCACCACCACCCTTTAACTTTCTTGACTTTTTAAGACGATGAAGCTTTTCGTTTAGGTATATTTTGCTTATCGCGAGCTTTTTTTAAAGTTGTAACTGCGCGATCGCGAGCTTTTTAGGCACGTCTTAACTAGAGTTCTTTGGCCCTCACTTCTCTCTCTTTATCCCTCGCTATTTTCTTTAACTCTTGCGCAGTCCTTGCCTCGTTTATTAATTTTTTTCGTAGAGCTATACTAGCAGCTCGTTCCTGTTGTTTCTCTTTTTTTAGAGTTTTTCAAGCTCTTCTTAGTGTTTTTTTGACGTTCTTGAGCTCTCGCATCTTCTATTGTCCTAGGACTCCACACCACCGCCGGAGTATAATACTGCTTGCTTTGCTGGAGCTCTAGAGGCTTCTTTTGCTTCTTTAGATAATTTTTGATAGCAAGTACTTCTCGTAGATTAGTGTTTTCGTAGTGCAAAATCTTGTTGTTGACCTAAAGTAAAGCAATAGTGTCTTTCACTACAGAGACTATAACTTTAGTACAACTTGTTATAGTTTTGTCTAGAAAATTAGACAGCTCTCTTGTAGTATCCCTATCACCATGCTCTCCAAGTTCTAGATTAATATCTTGTTATAGTGTTGACTTTTTAAGATGTTTAAGCACGGCATTACTATCCTGCGGGTGGACGCCAGTAGCTTAAAAACAGCTTAGTATCTTGTTAGACGTGAACGCCTATGTCCACGCCGCCTAAAATAACTATAAAAAGTTACTTTTGTGCACCTCTACTAAGCCTTGACTGCGGTAGGACAGACTATTAAGTTCTTTAGTATACGCGCTTAAGAGGGGCTTAAACATGCCAACGTCAAGTGGCTAGAGTTAGTAAGATAAGTAGGGAAGGAGAGTAGCTAAGAGAATCCTGTTAGAGTCACAAAACTCTTAAAAACTTGGAGTCTAATGACTCTTATAACCGTCTAGGATTAGCAACTAATAATCGCGCTTTACTTTATCTTTCGTTTAGCGCTAAAACACCTACTGAAGCCAAGATAGCCTTAGGATATTGTTACTCTAGCCTAAGTCGCTAGTAGCAAAAAACATCTAGTGTTGGGAAGGATCTAGGTGCTCTACCTAGTTGTTTCGAAGTCTAGCTTTGCCTTTAAAGATTATTATAGGCGATATCCAGCTCCCGTTAGCATAAATACAGTCTAAAGTTGTTATCTACTCCCTGCTGCCGTCTCTAACAGCTGCTCGAACTTTCTTTTTATTTTAAAGTCTCTTGGAGAACACCCTTTTAGTCCTTAAAGTAACACTAAGGAGAAAGCCCTTTTCGTCTATATTATAGATATTTTGCGGCTAGATATCGTATTTCTTAATATAATCGTGGGGTAGATAGAAGTAATGATAGTAATCTTTAAAATCATCAGCTTTTTTTGCGGTTTTGGTCGATGCCAGTGGTGTTTTTGGTGATAATTTTCTCTCTGTTCCGCTAAAGAAATCTTATAACCTAGCTGTTAGATAGCTGTCTTTTTGCAATATTAGCAACATATTTTTTAATTATCTCTTAGGACGGTGGAGTACTACGCTTAGAGAGTTTTTCTATGTGCTAGACAAGGTATTTCTCTTATTGTGGTGAGAGTAGTTGTCGTGGGTGTGCAGCGGCTGCACGCGACCGCGTTTTGTTTTAGTAGCGACGCGTTAAAGTTGATGCCGCAACACTATATATTTTTACAGCTGCACGGTACGAGATTTGTCCTTCTAGACCTTGCGAATTAATTGCCGCAAGCGCTTTTTTAATAGCTGTCATAGTAGTGGAGTTGTGGGGATTTAAAATTAGTGGGTTCTACTTTAGGAGATGCAGGGGGTGTTGCATTGTCTGACCCGTTGCACGCATTGACCACCCACACTACAGCCTAACGCGCTTAAGCTTCCCGTACCGCCCAAGGGCTTCACACCACCGCCAGACTCTAGTACTCTTGGTGTTGTTGAAGGTCAAGAACTCTATTATGCTTCGGCCTCTATTTTTTAGTGGCGATTTTACTGCAAAGTTCATTAATCTTAACGTAGAGAAGCTCGTTGTTAACCTACAGAGAATGTAGAGCCTGGCGGAGCTCTTTAGCTGCAGCTGTCAACCTATCTAGTACCGCAACGTCAAATAATCTTAACAGCGTACGCCAGCTATCTCTATCTTCTACCTCTCTACTTTTCAAGTTGTTATCTTGTTATAATATAGTTGTTTTAAACTATTTAAGTACAACTTTAAGATTGCAGGGATAGAGCCTAGTAGCAGCAAAACTACTTCAAATATTATTAGTAGTAAAGGTAGATGTATACGCTACCTAAAATAGGGGGAAGAAATTACTTTTCTACATTTAGAGCAATGCTTAGCTGCGGCGTATAAACTCTAATAGCTCTTTAGAGTACGCCGCTAACAGCGGCCTATACAACACTACGTTAAGAGGCTATAGAGTATAAGTAGCGTAGGGTAGAAATATTAAAAGAATTATTTAATAGGAGTAACAATATTTGATAAATTTAGGTGAGACGTGGCTACTAGAGCTGTTAAGGATAAGCATCTAGTAATCGCGTTTGGCTTTCGCCTTTGTTTAAGAATTAAAAACCTATTTAAGCTAAGCTAAGCCTAGGTTGTTATCACTCTATCTAGATAGACTTATAGAGAAAAAAACGTGGTGTTTTCTAACCTCTAGGTCGCGTACATAGCTATTGCGAAGTCCAACCTTGCCTTTATAGATAACGCGAGGATTTATAGCGCTTCTATTAGCACAAACACATGCTAAAACTGTTATCCACTCTCTATTACTATCTTAGATAACGGCGGTGATTATTTTTTAGTCCTAAAGTTGTTTAGAAAACACCTGTTTTGACCTTGTAGTAGACTTAAGTAGGAAGCCCTTTTTATCTATATTGTAGAAGTTATGCGGCGCAACATCGTATTTATTAAGTTTCCCAAAGATAAGATTAAAATATAATGAATAACCAATATAACTATTAGCTTTGTAACAATTGCGGTCCATCCTAGTAGTGTATTTAATGGTAAGGTTAGTGGTGTTGCGGTCTAGAAAGCGTGTAACCTAGCTATCTAATAGCTCTTATTCCGCAATATTTAACACAAAATTTTTTCATTATAGACCTAGTAGGTGCAAGCCTACGACTAGAAAGCTTTTATATATACTTTACAAGCTTAGCTTTATATTTAGTAACTTATAAGCTCTTAGATAGCTATAAGAAGCCTAAAAAGTATATATAGCTAAACCATGCGCTATAGAGAATAAGACACTTACTACGCTTATAGTATAATAACGTTTCTAGTACGCTAGGTCTAAAGGGCTTATTATATCTGAAGAAGAGCTATGCCTATTCTATAATAAGCAAAGTTGCGTGCTATTATTATTCTATATTAATGATATACTCCTTACATACTACTGATAAGATACACATATAAAAAGCTAACAGTCTTTGAAAAGTGATTAAGTAAAAGTATAAAGTAATAAACTAAGGAGACGTTAAGTAGTTTCTAGGTATATAGGTAGTAAAAACTAAAAAAAATATAATAAGCCTACTCTATAACGCGTATATAGAGAAGTTAGCAAAGCGTTTTAAGCTTAAATAGACTAGTAGCTGCTCTAAGACACTAATACTATTAGCCTACTATAGGTGGTCAGTGCATGCAACTGTTCAGCGGATGCAACACCATCTGCACCTTCCTAAAACAGACCCACCCACTTTAACGCGTGATAACTCTACTACTATAACTCTAATTAAGAAAGCGCTTATAGTAGTTAATGCGTAAGATCCTAAAGAACGACTTTTGTATAGAGTAGCTACAAAAAAGTTTAGTGTTATGTTGTTAACGTTAACGAGCCGCTACCACAAACAAACCTGGTCCTATGCAGCCGCTGTAGAAAACACAAAATTACTCACTATATAGTTCTTACTTATAATTGTAGCGTTTAAGAACGCGCCTATAACGTCTAGTTACTTAATCTCGATATTAAATTCTATAGCAATAGCTATAGTAAGTGAAAAGCTACTTCTAGTAAGTGTTATAGCGTACGTTAAATATAGAGAGTCTTTTCTTTGAAGATCTTCTCTTATAACTAGATAAGCCTTATAATTTTATAAGTAGTTCTTCTTATTGAGTTTATAAGAAAATAGTTACATAAGTAATACAAGTTTCAGGCTCTATTATTTTATTTATACGTTAACTTCTTCCTAAGTTTACTTCTTTAGTAGTGTATTAATCTCTTTTCAAGCTACTTATTTAAATAGCTCTCTATATTAGTCGTTATATAGCTTTCTCTGGGAGGCTAAGAGTTTTAGTAACTTATCCTAATAGGTTTTACATATTTGGATTTTACTAACTATAGCTATAGCTATAGCGTGTACTATCTCAAGCTATTAGCTTTATGGTATTTATAGCTTATAAGCAAATGCTTTGAATAAGCTCTAATTTTGCTCTAGGTTAAATAGTAACGCGTGTACTCTACCTACACCTTTAAGGCTATATTATTATTATTATTCTAGTTTATCGTCCTTTTTCAGCCCGAAGGGCTATATAAGACGTGTAGGGTTTTTAGGCCTACAAGTATCTAAGTAGGTTGTTTCTAGCTACAATATTTAGGAGGGGTTTTAACTAGATGAAGGTGAGGCTCGTAGCCTATTGGTTGGTAGGTAGGGGGGGGATAGGGTAGGGGAGGTGTATGGCTACCTGTTACAGGTATTACTCCTCGTTTTCTGTGTTTCCCTTGTACTAGGCTTGTGTTCTAGCCTTTGTTTCTTGAATAAAGGTAATAGTTGCTTCTATACCCTCTTTTGTTTGAAAGAGGATAGGTAGTAATAGATCGCCTTCGCAGGCTTCTCTTAGTCCCTTCCTTTCCTCTCTATATAGATTACATCTAAATAGAATATAAGGTAGGTCTTGTATAGACCTATAGTTGCAGGGGCAACTATTAGAATCCGCTTTCCCTCTCTTATATAGGTAGTCCCTTAAGTAACAGTGCCCTAGTTTAAGTTAGTAGAAAGCGCTAGAAATCTCTCTTCTAGTATTGCTAGGAATAGCGATTTGCTTTCTTATCTTCCACTTGTATTTTGCTGCGTACGTATGTGGATTCTTGCTAGTGGCTTTTTTCCTATACTGTTCAAGTTGGCTTAGCCATTCTCTCTCTCCTAGTTGCTTAATTCGCGAGCTAGTAATAGCTAGGCTAGTTTTGCTAGTAGAAGGAGGGTCTAGCTCAGTAGCTTCTTTAGCTAGGGCGTCTGCTTTTTCGTTCCTAGGGATGTCTTGGTGGCCTGGTACCCAGTAGAGGCTAGGGCGTATACCTATCTCCTCTAGTTTCTTTGTTGCCTTTATACATCTAATTTGCCATTCTTAGCCTAGATTATTAGAAGCAGTCTTTAACTTAAGTAGAGCAGCTTAATTATCTGCATAGACTTTTATATCTAAACAGTTCTCTACTAGCTCTATTGCTTTTTCTAGCCCCAGGGTAATACCTTCTAGTTCACCGTTGTAAACTAGTTGGTTATTTCCTATAGTATATTGTTCTTGGGCTATTTGTGTTGTTCCTAGATGGAATGCAACCCCTACTCCTACACCTTTGCCTTGCTTTGTAGCTAAGGCATCAGAATAGATAGATAGAAGGCTATTATCTACTAGTTGTTCCTTGTGGTTCTTTGCTTCTATGTCTTTAGGCTCTTTAGATATATAGACCTTGTATAGGATATTTAAGTTCTAAGGTGTAAAGGCGTAATGTTGTATCTCCTCAGTGTTTCTAGCAAGGACTGTGGAGATAGATCTAGTGATCTGATCTAGTTGTTCCCCTTTATTGCTAGTTATAGCAATATTAATTGGGTGGTTTAGGGCTAGTTTTTGAGCTCTAAAGGCGTATTGTCGAAGAGCGTTGTTTAACCTTACTCTAGGTGGGTAAAGGCAGGCCTCTACCTCACTAGGTATAGTTAGGGAGGTCTTAAATGTGCCTAGAATCTTCCTACACGCTCTATTTTGTAGTATTTGCCTTTGCTTAAGAGCTAGTTGTTGTTGTTTCTAGAAGAT